TTTTATTTCAGATTCGGACGATATGATTGCCATGTTTGATGAAGATGTTTCTCTTTTTCTTTTGAAAAACTCGACATATTTTCTGGACCCCTCGATCAATCAGCTTACCAAAGTCCAAACTCCGAGGCTTTTTGAGGACCCAATCGATTTCGACTCCGAATCTGAAATAAAAGAATACGCAGTCAAATTGGAGCTTTTCAAATCAGTTAATGGATTGAACGCTCTCTGGAAAACCCTGCTCCAGAAGCATGCTTTGAAACCTCTGGTGTCCTTTGTCTCCAATTTGATCCTGATACTGGCCATTAAAAGCCTGAAATTTGAAGAAATCCAGCTTTTGTTAAATGCAGACGGAAACCCAGAGCCCTTGATGTTGCCAACTCATTATGAACACTCGGAAAACTTTGTCGTTTTTAAACAATGGATGGACGAGTATAATTTGATGGAAAGGTTTGATATCCGCCGGTTTTCCTTCCTGGTCTTTGATGTCTTGTTTTCAAAATTCTTTAGCATTGGGGAAAAAAGGTCCATCCTGATACCATATATTCACATCCTGAAGGATTTCTTGTTGCTAAATGGCCCTCCGAAGTGTGAGCAGCCCACTCGGCGAATGTTCAGACTAATATTGGGCTGCCTGACAAACAACAATATCTTATCTCCTCAAACGAATGGAATTTCAGGCGCTCCTTATTTAAGTATTGCTGGCATCATCTCCGGAAATAGTACAATGGTAACTGCCCAAAACAGATATTCTTTTATCTATCAAAATTTGTTTGAGCCCAACGGTGACTTTGATAAAGGCGGCCTCATTGATGGGCGTTCCATTGCTCTGCTTTGCAAGTGGATAGTGGAGAACTTTATTCATGACCCAAGGACTTTATCCGCATCATTGGAGCAGGTCTATTATCTTTATATGCGATCCGTAGAAAGGTCCCATGTAAATCAGCCGCATTTGGTTGACCATGCAGAGCTATCTTTCCTACTTTTTTTGTGTAAAACATTTGTCAACCAGAAATACTTTTCGGAGGCATACCATGTGCTAAGACTATCGATTCCAAAGATTTCCTCGATATTTGATCGGCATTTGTCGAAAAACAGCTGCAGCCCCCTGATCAAAGAGTATCTAGACATTATGACTCGGGTGATATTGATACTTTCCACCATTTTTGACAATGTTTCCAGAGAAGGATTGTTGAGGGTTTCTCATTCTCATGTTAACAATTCAAATCGAAGCCCGCCCAATAAAAATACTGCGCCTGGCCCGCGTCTCTTTTCCTTTGAGAGGTTTGATCCGAACATTCCAATGAGAGGGTCAACGTTTCTTTCTCTTTTATTTTCCGACATGAACGATTTTTCCACCATGCTATTCAAATTGGAGAGTTTGCACCCGGGTGTTTATGCCTGCATTTCTGGCGTCGAGGATTTGCTGTGCGCCAAAATGAGGCTGTACATAGCGATTTTTCCATCTTTGTTAAATTTTTCATACAATTGTGCCCTCTCCTTTCTTACCAGTTTAAAGGATGAAGAACACTTTTTCACGAAAATCAAGACATCAAACATTGATCTTCCGTACCGTCCTACCGTTCATTCTTTAAATTTCATTCTAGGCATAGCGTCCTTGCCGAAATCCATAGGCTCGGCAAATATGAAGGACCTTGTTTTTACGCACATTTTTAAAGAGACAAATCCACCTTCAATTTCCAATTGCTCAAGTAGTAGGCCCCATGTTTACCGCCTTTTTGATGTAATCAATTCCCTTCTATCTCCGAGATCTTCTTTTTCAAAAAAGGTGGTCGCTTCTCTTTTGGAATATCAGATAATGCCGAATCTGTATACAATTTGCTACTTTTGCAGGGGCTCATTCGCCCTTTTAATTAACTCTTGGATTTCCAACAAAGATCTTGAGCAATCAACTTCATATGTTACCTCCTTTATATGCCGCCTAATTGAACGTCCCGAAATCTTGGGCTACATGGCCCCCGATTACCCGTTAAACACGTTTACCCTTCCTATTGAATATGAGGTTGTCGAGTTTCCCTTTCTTAGTTTAGCATCTCAATTTCTATTTTTATTTAGGGGCCATTCTTTTTATGCAAAAGCACTCAACATCTATTGTTCAATCCTTGGGAGGGCTTTAACGTGCCCATTGCCCTGGGACGAGCATTATGATTTTAGATACAATTTCGTTGTCCTGTACTATTCATTCTTATCACAATGGGAAGTTTTGCCAAATAACACGCCAATTGCCACTTTGGTCCCTCTTATTTGGTCCAAAATAACCGAGTTCGTTAGCCAAAGTGCCACGCCCATTTTCCCTGTGTGCCCCGAAATTTTCTCCCACAAGGATGCCAATTACCAGGCCGATGGCTGTGAAAATAGAATCATTGAGCAAGTTTCGAAATCAATTTCGGAGTACATTAAGACGGTGTCAATTTCTGATGTTAGAAGCTGGATTTTCGAACTGCAGGTTGGCGGGGTTACCACGGTTGGCGAGATGCGTAACATACCAAAATCGGCCATGCTCGCTTCGTTTGCAAATGTCCCCCCCGAAGCTTGCTATTTAATCTTGAATTTCTGTGTCAAACCGACGTCCAGTGTTGAGCAAATTCCCTTCAACACTTCCAAGAAACTTTATGCACATTATTGTCCTGTATTGAACACCAAATCAGGGCGCTACATTTTAACGAGCCAATTTGCTTCAACGTGAGGATAGCCTGTATTTATAGAACCAATTAATTATAAATTCCCAAAATGGTAAAAGTCTGAAAAGCATCGATAAGCCAGCCAAAATATGCTGGCGTGTCCGGTGTCAATGGTATGTAAGCAGCCAGCCATGATGCGCTAAAATTTCTGGTGCAATCTGTTGTGGGGAATGTTTAATGAAAAGTTCGCGTCGGTAAATTGACGCGTGGTGTTTACTGCCTTGCGTGATTAAGTGTGGTCCAAGCCATTTGCTTTATTATAACTTGGAGGCGGATTCTTTGAGAATGGGACGGATAAATTGTAAATATGCAGAGCTGTTTGAATTAATGTCAACGTTCACGGGATCCCTCAAAGCCGATGCAAGTAGATGCCTGTAGGCATCGCCGTCTGACGAGCCGATTGCAGAATCTAGCATAAAATCGGGAAGCAAAAAGGAATCAGTGAGGCTAATAACCTCTGGAGCCATTCTTTTAAAAAGATCTGCCTCAAGATGGTGACGATATTTCTTCAAGATCTTTCCATCCAGGGAAGCATCTTCGAGCCAATCGGCAGCGAACGAATCCAAAATCGAAATTGCATACACATCTCTCATCAAATCCAGCACGGCAGATATTGTGTTTTTTCTTGGTGCAACCAGCATCGATTCGATGCAAAAGTATTGGCAAAACGCCACAGAGACGCGGAAACACAGTACATTTTGAGAATCGAATCCGAACGTCTTTACTGCGGACGCCAACTCGGTCACCAAGCGCTTGCATCGATGTCTAAAAGCAGCAAGAAGATGGTCTTTTGCGGGATCGCAGAAAGAATCTCGAGCAAGCTGGCGGGAGCTTTCGAGCGACAGGGTTCTTTCATTGAGCCATTTCAGGGGAGACGTCTCAGACTTGGCTGACTTGAGTAAAAATCTTGCCAATTGCTGCGTAAGCAGGGCGTTGTCACCCTCGTATGTATTTGAGGCAACATATTCCGTGTAAAGATGAAAGAAGCCAGAATATTTGGAAAACCCGTGACCTACAAAGATAAGCCAACAATGACGACAAAGAACCTCCGCAGATTTTTCTTGACTCCTCCACAGCATTTGCCACATACGATGTGAAGTATGATTTCAATCCAGAAGAGAGCGCATGCACAAACGGAAGAAGGTCTGCATTGTACGACTTTAGCTGCTCCGTCATTTGGTCAAATAAAGACGCCGTTCTAGCCCCGACACAATTGAACACAAAGCAAGAGGCAATTAGCGGGAAAAGCCGATATTTGACCAAAGGGTATGTGATGACCGGGTTTTCATCGCCACCAGACTTTGACAAAAACTGGCGTCGAACCGTCGTGTATCTAGAAGTAAGCAGGCAAAAAAACCTCGAAGTGATGGTCACTGCTCTTGCAAGATAAAGCCATGCCTGCTCAACCAGCTGCACGCGAATAATCACCATGCCGCCATAAAATATTTTTGGGTGAACCGGTGGGTTGTAGTTTCCGTTCTCGTCAACGCTGGCAAATCGAGACAACAGCTGACTTCTGCATATCTTGGCCTGATTGAATCGAAGCCAGCCGTTGTCATTTTTTGCCATGCCAAATTTGGCTCCGATGTCCCCAACCTCCACATTTGGCAAGGGAGAGTGATCAACCAAAGACCTTATTTGAACGATGAACAAGTGCGGCCCATAATCGACAGAATCGATAATCAATTTCGCCTGAACGAGAGCGTGGGTCGAGATAACGCCGAGCCCGCCAATCCACCATTTGATCGAAGATAGCGATGGCGAATTTAAAATAAACTGACCGCCGCCACTTGTGCGCATAAATGTGGCCGTTGTCTCAAGGTTGCTCAAGTTAGATCCATGTCCAATTTCGGTCTGTGCATAGCAGCCAATGATGCCAAAATCCTCGGCGGCTTTTCCCCATCGAGCATATTGTTCATCCGTACCTTGGGCCTTTAAAACAGGCAGAAACATTTCGAAATGGAGCGTAATCTACGGGAAATTACCACAGCAAAAGCCATACCGGCACTGCCTCGTCTACAAAGTAGCGTAGAAGCATTGCTTCAAGCATGGATGGACGATGCTTTCTGTGGAAATCAACCATAGCTTTGGAAATATGTAGCCCGGAAAGTAAACACTACGAAAAGCCACATCGACATGCTTACCTCTGCCCTTCCGTAGTGGTATCGTTTTTCTCTGGAAAACGCGGGATTATTTTCAACCAATTTAGAAATGCGAAGATATGTCTGAATATTCTCAGATCCACCAAAGAGATGTTCAGAGAGGTCTCTGGCATTTGCAGTGCCAGAGCTCCGAGCCAACTGAAGTGTGGAGCGTTGAAAATCACATGACTTCTTATCTAGCGAGGGAATGTTGATGACTCCAGAAGTTGCGGGCATCAAAATTGGCATGTTCAATTATGGAATTTTAAGCATCAGAATCTAATGATTGATCACTTTCACAGTAAGCTTCGCGAGTTAGTTTACCAATTTGCCACGTTGGCTGCTCCAATTTAAAGATTGTAATTTTAAAAATAAAAAATGTCCAATCATCACCACTATGGACAACGGTTGCTGGAAAAGATGGGCTGGAAAAGGTTTGCCAACGGTTGTCAATTGGCAGTGGTAAAGGTTTAGGTAAAGACTCGATCGGAATCACGTCGCCCATTCAAGTGGCATACCAACAAGACACGGCAGGAGTAGGATTTTGCACTCGACTTTTTCTAGATAGGCTCAACGCATGGAGCATTTGACCCATGGTGGGAAGACATGTATGCCTCGGCAAGTAAAAAGATATCACCTAAACTCGAAACGGTAAAACGGCCAGCCAAAAAGCCGAAAGAATAGCTGCAACGGACGGATTAACTGGACAGCTGCCGAAAAGGGAGCCCCGTTTAGGCCAATTTCGAAATGTTTATTAAAATTAAGTTGTCACGCATCGGAATCCCGACATAGTTGAGTTGGGGTGGGAAATAGTGGCTTTGATGAAAAGAAATCTTGTAAATGACTGCGTCATCGTCATCGTCATCGTCATCGTCATCAAGATCATCAAAGGGGGGAAATGGGCTTGATTTTCAAGTTAATACGAGGGCGGGTTGAAAAGGTAAACCAAACCAAAGATACAACGAACAGCAAAACCCCAATGCATATTAGGGCTAGCACGCTGATTCCAATCGAGTATCGATCCATGTCCATGACACTCAACACGGAATCCCCAGTTTCATATCCAACTCCAGAAAACTTGAGACCCCTAAATTCATTCTGGCACAATGCGGTATAAGCATAGCGTATCGGGCTAATATATTGAAGCCAGGCAAGAGGTTTGGACACAAGGACGGCGGGACTCATATTTCCTCCATATATCATAAACACCGATATGATCAGTGGGGCCAATATTTGAGAGATCTAAAAATTAGCATAAAACGTGCCATATCCAACGAGGAAAAACGATTCTCAAATGAAAGCCAAATTTTGGGGTAAAAATGTCGACCACTACTACCTTAAGCGAAGGCGACACGGCGCCAATAAACAATCCCAGAGAGACCGCTGCAAATGTCAGGGATGACATTATCCCAAGAAGAATCCAAATTTTATCCCAACCGCGATGAAGTCCAGCAAGGAGCCACAGCAGTACAGAAAGAAAAATAATTGAAGCTATCCGAAGAGGGAGCAAAATACAAAACTTTGCCACCAATGCCGCTGCGGAAGAGTAAGAATTTGAAAATCTCTCTTTAGATACGATTCCCTTTTCCAGGGGCAATATGATGATGATGGGCTGCACAATGCCGAAACAAGTGTTTACGGACAGAAAAAAAAGGATTCCAAGCCTCGCCAAAACCGAAGGCTGTGTAAGAGGAAGCTGGAAAACAGTAAAGCCAATCAGCAAGGAAAAAATAAGAGCTTGGAAAAAGATCGAAAATATCATGAAGCGATCGCGAATTACGGTTACGAAATTCTGCCACAGCAACACACGCAGTTGCAGAAAAAAAGGAGCAGAAGTATGCTGCAGCTCTGAAGACAGCACATCTTTAATGTCATGCTGCCTTTCAACTTGTGGACATTCAACGACGAACGGCGGGATCGGCTGTTCTGCAATCACATCTATAAAGTAGTCACCTGGGTTTTCCAGAGCGGGACATGGAAATCCAATCGTATCAAAGTATCTTATCGCTTCATCGATGTTTCCAAAAAATAGGCAATTTCCACCGGAGGGCGAAAGCAGAAGGATCCTTGAAAATAGCTTCAAAATGTTCAGCCTTGGCTGGTGGATGGTCATGATGACAGCCTTTGATGAAGCAAAAGGACGGTCAGCCGTGATCTCTGAAATAGTACTGACAACCTGAAGAGACGTGTGAGCATCCAGTCCTGACGTGGGCTCGTCCAAGAAAAGGATACACGGATCATAAATCAATTGCAGGCCTATTGCAAGCCTTTTCTTCTCTCCGCCAGAGATTCCAGAGCCTAAAGCTCCGACAAGAGAATCAGAACACCGCTCCAAGTTCAAAGACTTTATTATCTGAGATACAAGTTTCTTTTGGCCCGCTTTTGACAAAGTTCTCCATAATTGAAGAGAAGCCATTCTGGAAAGGGTCTCCTTGACAGTGAGCGTAGGATATAGAAGATCATTCTGTTCAACATATCCAACACACCGCTTCCATTTTGATATCGGCAGAGATGCTCGATCGCAGCCATTCAGCTTGATGGTACCTGTAACGGCGAGCTTGTCATTTTTACACAGCCCCACAAGTGCATTTAGCAGTGTCGACTTACCCGCACCACTTGCCCCAAGAATGGCAATCATCTATAAAATAAGAAACACACGCACACACACACACCTCTCCGCCTTTTACCCAACCAGAAACATTGGACAGTATTTGCCTTTGAGTCCCCTTGGACAAAGTCGAGCATACGCTGATTCCATGCCACGAAAAAAGAATTTGCTCCTTAATGTTTGGTATTGCAATAACAGAATCATCCTCACGAGCTCTGAAAGCCGGATCTGCAATTCCGATTTTCTGAGAGTGAGAAATTTCCATTTCTGTAAAACAAATACTAAAATCAACTAACACATCATAACCCCCTCCCCTTTCCAGTAAATTTACTAGTTCATTTTAAAATTAAATTTTAGATTACAGTTTCAATTGAACGCGTACCCTAATTTTGTACGGACATCAAATTTTGGGATTGGTCGTTACTAATTGATGTAACTAGGGCGCAATTAACATGGATACTCATTTGATGGTTTGATAAATAACTCAGAAACCCGAATTTTCTTACCATATGCACATGCATCCTCTTGTTTCTGTGTCTTTAATTGTCGTGTTTGTGCAGGGAGTTTTTTGTGGGGCTAGATTTACAACACCGCTGGGTTCAGCCAAGTGGTTCGGAAATACAGTGTAAGATATGCGATGAACGTTAAATCTTTAGCCAATCGGTATGTTGGACTGGATTTGAGGGTGAAACTCCAGATACACCGGTCCATCTGCTCATCAAGGCCTGTGATGGAGGGGTTGCCGATCTTGGCGAAGTTGATATTGCCTCTGGATATCATAGCATATATGTGCCAGGAGACTTAAAAGATGGATCCTACACATTTGTGCTCAGCCAAAAAGATGGCAAAAACCCGGCTTTCCCAGTTGAATCGGGGAATTTTCTGATTGAGCAAGTCGGTTATGCAGCGAACCCTTCAGCGCCAGTTTTCGTTTTAGAATATCCCAAGAAAAATAAGGAATCCAACGAAACAGTGGCAGTCTCAGGGGATACGTTTGAAGAATCTCAAAACGGATCTTTGTCGGTTAGCAAGGTAGCACAAATCCATTTACATGTAGGCCTTGATGTCTCTATCCGCCCTAATACTTTCGGTGGTTTTTTGCTTTGAAATGTGGTATTAACAATTGTGTACAATAGAAATATTTTCCACGCAATACAATATGATGCAGATTTCAATGCCTTAAACGGCCTATTGTGCACCAATTTAACGCGAATATACTAGGGCTGTTTTTACAGCAGATACACTGATCAACTATAATTACAGCCGGTGAGGGGGGGGGAGTCTAATTTCGGATTACGAATACTAGCTATTAAAGTGGCATAGATCATGATGAAGCGAGGAGAGATAACCAATTGTAGTAACCATCAAAGATTGCAAAAGTTGTGTGAGGTTCTTATAATTTAAGGCCTAATCTAATGCTACGTGGGTAATATCATGATAATGGCTGATCTATTTATTTATTCCTACAGCGCGGTCTGGAACAGCCTTTTGACAGAAAGAGAGGTCCGGAGTTGGACCAAACCTTTCCCAAATCTGTGGTGCCTTGAATAACAATTTGATACGTTCCTGGAGCCAATCCCGTCAAGTATACGGGGAAAATCCCAACATTTGGAAATTCGCCAAGGTTTTTTGTTCGCTTTTTGGATGTAATGAAGGCGCTAATTTTTGGCATTTCAAAGGGAGATGGGGATGTATAAGTAATCACAAATCTAAATGTATTTAATGGATAATTTACCCCTGGAAAGTTCTTATTTTGTCGCCCGTGGTGGGCGAGATAATTTTCAGGCTTTGCGATAGCACGCCCGAGATTATTGTCAACAGAAGCACCAGAACAACGGGAATAGAAAGAAAGCTACGCATTAAAGTATGGTTGTTGTGTCCCAGAATGGGTATTTTATAGGCATGTAAACATTATTATTCCTTGGCAACCATGATCGGAGCCAACCAGCTTTATTACGTGGCCAAGGGTATTACATAAATTTTACCACTCAACCCCATGACAATGCAAATCAAAACCATGTAAATCAAAATCATGCAAATGCAAATACCACAAATTTATTTCAACAAAACTTGGCCCGCTCTATTAACACGAGCTCGACGGCGATGAAGACGAATCTGAACATAAGCCGTTGTTTGTTATCCCAAAAATATTGGACATGCCATAAAGAAGATTTTTATCCGCTGTATTGAGGCCAGCAACAACATATTGATAAATTCCAGTGGGCACATCAGGAATTTTTACGCGAATATTCGAATGGGAAACATTGCGCTTCGCAAGAATCCAAGTTTTACCGGTTGTATCTTGCAGATAGACTACGACTCGTTTTACGAAAGCTTCATTAACGGTAAATGAAATGTGGGCACTTCAAATGAGAAAGCCAAAATTTACCTCATGCATGTCTCCTGCACTATGGGGACGTCAAAGACGCTAATATATTGAGCACATGCTAGACCTTGGAAAAAGTATACAATACAAAATAGAAGAAGGAGCCTTTTAATAGCAATATCCATTGTGGGAAATAGAAAACAGAGGCGCTAAATAATGCCCAAAAGTGGCAGGAGTCATAGAAACGGGGCTGATAAGATCGTTGATGCCATTAAGTGCATTTTTAAAAACCCCAAATTTTCCACTGCCCCAAATTTATGCTTCCGTCCACCAAAATTGCTGTTATATCGCTATTGGAGCGCCAGGCCTTTATCTCGGCAGTAGGGCCGCTGTTCGACGCGGCAAGAATGAAGAGCTTAAAAATCGCAGTTTCTGGAGGATCGATCCTTCCAATCTTGGCAGAATTTTTCCAAAGTCTGCCAGGCTCATCTAACGAAAAGACCCTGTTATCTGTTGCGATGGCTGATGAGCGAATCGCCATACCTTTTGATGAGTGTGCTGGTCAAATTAATGGCTTACAAGCAAAAAAGCTGTTCCCCAGCTCAATTGCAATCATCCAAGTTCCCCAGTCGTCGCCTGCCTTGAAAGATATCTCCATAATTGCGCAAGCTTATGACCATCTGGTTTGTGAACAGTTGGGAAATAATTCGTTTGATTTCATATTTCTTGGAGTAGGTCCCGATGGGCATTGCGCATCGCTCTTTCCAGAGGCCTCTGATATGGGTCAATTTTCGCCCTGCGCATTTATCCCTGTCTTTAATTCTCCAAAGCCACCGCCCAACCGAATTTCTTTATCCATTTCAGCGATTGCAAGTGCTGAATATGTAATATTTATTGTTCCCCATTCTACCGAAAAAGAAGCATTTGTTTGTCAGTTGGAAAAGCTGTTATCCGATCCTATAAGCGGAATACCAGCTCCATTTCCGGCCATTAGAGTCACGCAGCAACGATCTGCTTTGGGGAAAAAAACACTCTGGATTTTGGATTCTAAATTCTCTAAATTCATTCATTCCTCTTGATTGGGATATCCGTTTTTGATACGGCACACCAGACACAAGGCTTTTCGCCATTATTGCATTTCTTTTCAACAGAAATATGTCTGCCTTGCTAATCCTGGCTTATGCGTTTGCATATGTGATTTTCTCACTACCGATGCGCACTAATGGCTTTTTCACAAAACAGCTTAAGCGATTGGATATTGCTACTGGCCCATCAAATAAAACTTTGAAAAGTAGCCGGTGTGTCTTTTTGAGCGGTGCTCAAGCAAACAATACCGAACCTCTGCTACACACATTTATTACCTGAACGGTGCGCATACAAATCAATCCAAATGTCTCGTTTTTCAATTAAAAGCTCAACAAAATTTATTTTTATTTAATTTTATGCTTCAACAAATCACCAATTGGGGTGCCTGGGCTATCCCAGATTGGATTCAGATGTGCAGGGCAATGTGTGATAAAACCAGGCATGTTGAATACCATTTTGAGTTTGATGCTTCCAGGTGTTCAGATGAGGATAAGTTTATGCTAGCCCAATTAATATTCTGCAACCATCTTGGTCCCATTTCACTGAATAGATTTTCTTTTACAAAGGATTCGATTTTAGACACTTTTGTGATTGCTCAAGTTGGAGATTGTATAAACATTTCGGAATCTTTATATTCTCAAATGGAAGAGCTAACTGCAAACCAAGAGGGACACATGCCACAAAACCGAATCATTGTACAAGATGAAGACCATGCACTTGACTCCGAAGCTTCAAGCTACAAAAGGACCGAAAGGCTACCACTAAATGGTGCTTTATTGGTCAAAAATATCCACAGGGTACTTAGGATTTCTGCTTCCGATGGTGAAAATGTGATCGAGTGTGTAGATCTAGATGGGATTTTTAGAAACAGCGCACCCGCTTATGGAAGCAAAATTGCGCTATTTCCTGGCCTCGAAAGGCAAAGAGATATCCTACTTTTACGTGCTAAATATGTCTTTCATTTGGGAGGCAGGGCTTGTCGCGATTCGTCTGCAGCCGATAAATTTACGTTTTTATCGAACAAATTGAAGGGCAGATGATTGCACCCAAACTCGAGCTCAAATTATCACCATGCATTCCAATTGTTCAGATCCGATGAAAGTAGCGACCGAGTTTGTGATTCAATGAGGGGCGAAAATATCTGCATCACTAGCGTCAAATAGAATTTTGGGAGCAATTGGGCCTAAATCCCAATCCAATTCAGGAAAGTGGCCTTTCAAATGGCTTTTGGAATTTTCAAAATTATAGAAATACGATTCTGATACCAAGAAGATGTGCCACATATGGCTCTAGTAAATGGCAAATACTCTCAAAATGGGTATCATTTCATCTGGAATGAAGACGAGCCTTCAACCTTTTACCCATGTGAACTTTCACTTCCATTTAACGAAAACCACGTTTGGTATATTTCCTGCATTACAAGTTGTTGTGGCCTTTTTTTGCAAAATCTTGTATTACCAGAAGCATCAGAAACCTCCTCCAGAACACCCATCAAACCTTCTTCCCATTATGATACCATTCTAGAAGCAGTATCCATTCCCATATACATGGTCACAAGCCTTGGGATTGCAGGGTTTTTTCCAAATCTTGGCTGAATTCTTTGATTTACATGTTTCTCAATTCTTTTATAATTGTTGCGAGTACTTTTCTGCGCGCATATTTGTTTCACTTGGTTTACTGGCTCTTTTTTGTGCTGCCATATTTGCTTTTCTTTGCGATCAACTTGAGAACCCAAGCATCCTTGGAAAACACCCTCTATATAGGGTAACAAATCGCCAAACTATAACCCAAAATGTTACTTGCGACTTATTTTTATTTTGGCTACTTACCAGAGAGGGTTCTTATTCCATTGGCTTTGAGGCCTTTTTTATCTTCCTGCGCCAGACGGATTTTTTACCGAAGAATTGGCATTTAACGATTTTAAAAACTTGACACAGTGAACCAGATACTTTCATTGCAATAAAGATATCGTGGTGTTCCTTCGTGTTTTCTTTATTGCTAAACTCTTTTCGGAGGACCAAGATTTTAGTGGTGTAAAATCCTTGTTTTGGCGTCTCGGAGATCAAGCTTCTTTTGATTTAAAGTTATCGAGGGATTTGGAGCATTTTGTAAAACACCACATGCTAGTGTGCAGATTTCTCAACCAACCATGCATAAGAAAAATCGTATCCTCTAAAAACGTTTGTATAAAGCTGTAACATCTACCACGATACTTGAAAGCTTGGAATTTTCATATTGTGGCACCCACTGCACTTCAAAATCAAGGCGTCACTATTAAGCATATAAAATCGTATACTATTCTTGATTTTGAAGACATCTATCGCCATATGGTAGTTGATATTTTGACAAATGAACACTTTCAGTGCTCCCTAAACAAATCAGTAGATCTTTTATTGAGCACAAGCCGTCCTGATGCCGCGTACTATTCTTACGAAAAAATCCGCATTTTGCGCTATTTTAGTCCGGATCAAACCAAAGATTTTATCTATCCAAAAGGTGTCCTTATCGATGTAGGGCCAGATAGCATTGAAACAATGGGCTTTTTATCCGAGTTTTCTGATCTTGTAGGCTCGTTCTATTTACGTTTCAAGACCGATCGCAAAATCATAGAAATACCCAAGTTTTTTGATGTTTTTGATAGCTTTTTCGACTCTGTGAAGCATCTACATTTCTTTTCCATGTTACATGGCAAAATGAGCATGAAAAATATCATTTTTAGCAAGTAGCTTTCAAAAGCTATGGGCTAATGGCCATAAAAATTTTAAACCTTCTTTATGCCACCCAAGCAGACCAAATAAATAAATTAATTAATTGGATTTTGTCTTGGCTTCGATCTGACCGCCTTTTGGCGATCAAATTAATTTTTTGAGTGAACTTTAATTTTTTTATGAAGGGCCCTTCTTTGGTTCCATGGGTAAATGGATCTGAATTATTGGCCGTTTTTTCTTTATTGTTTGATAAATCAGGTTCGGTAAGCGAAAGATTTGCATCCGCTTCTTCCATCCTTACTTCATGGTCGCATCGAGGCGAAGTTCCCCTTGCTATTGAATCAACGCTCAACATTGTTAACGTGATTCTTCTTGACCTTAATATGTTTTACGGCAATTCAATATCAAATATGTCATCAGGAAATGTACCATTAGGCCTGGAGGAACTTTTTGATTTCCCGGAACCGTCTGAACAGCCTCTATTTACGAATGCACCCTGTGCCATGAGTTTATCATATGCAGCCACTATTATTAGGTAGTCTCTCTCACCGATCAATTATAGGTTTGTCAATGGAATAGTAGATGCCCAGCAGCAAAAAATGTATGCGCAGTCGGTAAGCAAACTGGCTGAGCTACAAGATCTTCCTCGTTTCTTTGTCGATGCGAGACATGAGGCAACCCACGATAGAATTCCACCTCTGGACTATCTTCGTGAATTGTCTGTTCTAGCCCTTTCCTGGCTAAAGCGAACTTATTGGGACGGCATGAAAATGCTTTACTCATACACATCTGCATCCAATATTGACGACTGCGCTGAGGATATGGTTCGGATTTCTCTTCTCAAGTACCAAGAATTGTTTATTAAAACGCTTCCATATTCGGACCCAAAAAAGTCATACTTGAATATGGAGGCAATTCCCAGACCCATTTCAAAGGCTGTTTCCGATTTCTATGCAGAATATGAAGCGGCAGTGTTTTCCTTATCTCTTCAACGGCACATTTTATCGTTCGTCATTGTGCAATTTCAGGATCCTTCTGTATTTAACTACGAGTCCATTGTATGGAGCCATTTATTATCGCCGATCGTTCTAAATTGCCCTCTGTTTATCGAGCTTGTTGTTGGCAGTCTAATTTACCTTCCTTCAACGCATCTCCTTTTAGAGAGGCTATTTTCGATTTGGTTGCATGGTCATTCAGCTTTATCTGTTCAGGTCCAGATCATAAACAGAATATGTGAGATCCTTTTCAACCACATTCCAACAGAATACTCATTTTTCTCCATTTCATTTCTCAAGCTTATCAGGGAAAAGTTTTTCAACTTACTCCACCCGCTTTTACTTGCACTTGTCGATAAGACTTTGCACTTGGACGGGGCCTTTTCCAACGAGAGTTTTGAATCTTTGCCCAAAGCATTCAAAGTTCCTCCATCCATTAATGATGGCATCGGTGAAAAGCAGGAAGATGAAATTGACTGGATCCGTGGCTGGCGTGTATCTCCGCTTGGGTCTGTTGATCCCATATTTCCAAACTACAACCACAAACATAGCCAAAGCTGAGTTAAATTTGTCGATATGCCACTTTATTTCTTTATTTATAATTTCAACCGCGTAATAAACTATTTCCAATTGACACCATAAACCTTGCAACGAAAAAGCGAACCATGTGCTATCAATTCTTAACGCCAAATGATGTGGCCAATCGAAAGCAGATGCATTTGTGTCCATGTGCACACATAAAAATATAGACAACAAACATTTGGTCTCAAATGGAATATCCACTGCAAGGAAATATGTTGGGCGTGTCAGTCTACATTTAACAAATAAAGTATCGTCAGTTTATATTAAATAAATAGAGGTATCGCTAGCGAGCATGGGGAGGCCTTGCCTTGCCCTTTTCCTTCTTGGCTGCTAATCTGTCTGCGATGCCTGCCTTCTTGACTCGTGCCTTGATAATTTGATCTGGGTTCCTCAGCTCACTTTTTACTGCAGACTTCTTCACAGGTGCCTTGGAATATCTCGACCCTTTGGCACCACCCTTTCTCCCCCGAAAATCAGGAAACCTTTCAATACGTTTGGTAGAATTCTGTGTCTCAATGGAGCCAACCCTGGGCAGTTCTTGATGTGTAACTTTCTTCCAGCTTCGATATACATCGCCGATAATCCTTTGCTTTGATGATCCTTTTTTGGCTGTTGAGCGTCCACCAAAAAGAGACTTTTCAAGGATCGTTTCAGGAGACTCTGCAGCCTCTCTTTGGATGTACTTTTTCTTCTTGGCGTCCCATTTCCGAATAAGGCGCTTTTTTCCGGACACAGACCGGACAGAACCTGTCTGTTCATCCTCAGGCAATGAAAAGGTAGAAACATCAAGTCTATGGGATAAAAATATCATTTGGGCTTACCCTCTTTCATATTCCGCTCCCTTTTTGGCATAGTTAACGAAGGATTTTTCATCTTTGAAAGAAAGGTCTAAACAGTTTGAAGCAAATAAAGAACTTTTACTGCAATTCTCATCAACACTGGCAGTGTCTTTTTCCTCTACCAAGGCGGTGATAGCTTTGGCGTTCTTTTTCTTATTTCTAAGCGCAACAATGCTAGATAGCTCCGGCGCATTAATTAAAGAACGTTGGCCTTTTGATCCCTTGCGCATGGCTTCAAAAACGGTTTCAGACGGCCGAAAGGCAGCAAGCTGGGCCAGGAAAGAATTTCCTTCCGATTTTAACTGGGAATACCCAGAATACACGGGGAGTAGCTCACGGCTAGGAATCGCCTTTGCCCTTGTATAAGAGGCAGGCGATGCCTTTGGCCTGGTACGTTGGTATTTGAGAAGAGACTGCTCCGCAACCCGCGGCAATGGTTCCAAATCTGCATTCGAGGCGATATAGTCATTAACCCTTGCCTTAATATCTTCAGTTTCGGAATCACCAAAAGGAACGAGCCGCATTAATTGGAGCTTGGAGATTCCAAGAAAAGCTTCAAGGTCCATCAGATATGGTCTCTCATCAATTGTCACAAAGGAAATTGCCGTTCCAGAGCGCCCAGCCCTAGCAACTCTTCCTGTGCGATGAATAAAAAGCTTGGCCGTTGCGGGAAAGTCGTAGTTAATGACAAATTGAAGTGAGGGGATATCAATTCCTCTGGAAGCGACGTCTGTTACAATTAAAAAAGGGATTTGATTGGCACGAAAAGACTCAACAATGATTTTACGAGCCTCAGCATCCATTTGTCCAAAAAGGACGCCATGTTTGATGCCAGCCTCTGAAAGGATACCAGAAAGTAGGGTTGCAATCTGACGAGTGGAAACAAATATGAGTCCACCAGGCTCCGATGGGTTATACAAATCAAAAAGCGACGAGTCCCTCTTCTCAAGCAATGCCAGCAGCAAAGCCGGCTTTTCGGCAACTTGAACGTCAAAATAATAACTCTATTTGTCAGCTACAAAATGCTGCCGCATACCTTCAAATCATCTGATAGCCGGGCTTCGGTATCCAACCGAACCAGGGAGGCATCTTTAAGACCAGTTTTTGAAAAGCCAAGCAATTGGGAGGGCATTGTGGCTGAAAACAAAGCAACTTGTCTTGATGCCGGAATTCTAGAAAATAGCAAAGAAATTTGAGCCAAAGATGTGGCATCTTCGAACAATCGATCCGCCTCATCTAAAATCACTAACTGAATAGCATTGAAAAAATTATCTGCCATTGAACCATCTTTCGATGATTGAGATACTTCTGCCAAAAGGTGAAGTAAGCGGCCTGGTGTTCCGATAAGGATGTCTGGATTTGACATCAACATTGAAAATTGCTCTGAAATGGAATCACCTCCCAAAACACAGGCCGAACGGAGAGAAAGATGCGCTTTCCTGCAAAGAGACTCTATAAATACATGAATTTGAGATGCAAGCTCTCTGGTGGGCGCAATAATAAGTCCCCTCACGCCAACCCTTGCAGAATGGGTACAGTTTAGTTTCATTAAAAGAGGTATCACAAATGCAGCGGTTTTCCCGCAGCCGGTTCGTGCCATTGCTACAACATCCCTTCCGGAGTTCAAAATTGGGATGCATTTTTTTTGGATTGGAGTAGGCTGGTTATATCCCATAAAATGGATGCCCTTCAACAACGGAAATGGAATGGATAATGGTGAAAATCCGGGAGCATACTGATTGGGGCCGGTTTTGGAAGCCATAGTTTGAAATTTTTTATTAAACTAAATTATTTTATTAAAATTTATTTGACTCTGAGAGTGGAAGAGAAGTTTGACGGACGAACCAATCAAACTGCCGAAGTTAACTTGATTAAAATTTAGAACCCCTTTTTGAAAAACAAGAATGTCATTAGGATCTCTTTCAAGTTCGCAGCCTCCTGCAT